TTGATATGTTTGTTATTGTAATATATACATAATTAATAATTATTTGTATCAAGTAACAAAATAAAATTAACTTAAAATTGATATTGTCAACTTTTTAGAACATTTAATTTTTCTATTTTGGATCATATTAAGTAATTTTTTTTTTGTGTGATAAAAGTTAAATTTTATATTGAAATTTAAATATGCATAAATTTAACAAGTTTTTCTATATTTAAGATTTTTAAAATTTTATTTTTTATATATTTAAATCTTAATCTTACTTCTAAATTACAAGTAAGAAATTCATTTTTAACGTTACCCCCCTAAAATTATTTTCTGGCTCCGTCCCTGCCCATGACCCCTTGGCTGTATCATAAGACGCCTGCAATCCAACTAGAAAATAGTAAATCAACACGATGCCAGTCCAGACAGCAAACCTTATAAAGGATGCACGGTCTATGGATCCAAGAAGGAAAATATTGTTGGCAATGGAAGCTGATGGCAACCGAGGAGCCAATGGAACGCCCCATAGTTTTGGAGTCCTAGCCTTTGGAACAATAAGCTGAAGTGCCAAGGTAGCCAATAACCAAATTGGCGCTGTAATCACATATGCAGTCCGGTCATTATCGCTACCTAGTGCCCAGTAAGCAGTAGTGGCAGCAGAAGACCCAAGAATGAACGCTATGCAAATAACAAGTTTGTTTCTGTCTGTTGGTGTTGTCACCCCACTGACATAATATCGGCGAACAAGGAGAGCAATAGCTACAAGCATGAAGATGAACAATGTTGATATTGAGAGAAGATTGGAAAGAATATCTAGTTGAGTAAAGAAGCCAATGATTGCTGTGGCAGCAAGCATGACAATTGTTGCATTGATTGGCGTTCCTGTCTTGGGATTGATTTGTGCTAACCAGTGCGGCATCATGCGGGTACGTGCAATATGGGTCAGATATCTGGCTTGGCTGACAGCACTGACAAGCTAAGGATTGGTCATGCCCTCCAATGCACCGAGAGCAACAATATACTTAGCCCAATTCATCCCCACAGCTTCAAATGCCACGGGGAATGGGGTATCCCGGTCGATCTGCGGATATGGTTGCATTAGGCATAATGTTATAGCAAGCAGACAGTATGCAACAGTCATAATTGTCATTGAGCCAACAAGACCAATGGGAATATCTCGAGCAGGGTTTTTAGTATCTTCAGCCATTGTTGAGACAGCATGAAAACCGACATATGCGAAGAAAAGCACAGCTGAAGACTTGAAAATGCCATGAACGCCAAAGGGGGCAAAAGGGGTGTAATTTTTGGTGTCAGCTTTCGTAAAACCAGCAATGATCGATGATGAAGAGAATAACAGCAATGTGAATGATGGAGGAAATGTAATTGAGGCGCGAGGAGCCCTTTGTACTGAGGATTGCAACAATACCGATGACAGTTATCACAACAACAGCAATGGGGTCGAAGTGGCCATAATCATGAAGAAGGCTGGTCACATTGATGCGGAAATCATTAGCTTGGTGGTTGCAGAGGGTAGCAAAGTTGGCAGTCCACGATCGAGCTACGGCAGCACCACCAATGACATAATCCAGGAGAATGTTAAAGGCGGCAATGAAGGCCACGAAGTTACCTAACTCCACTCTGAGATACGCAAATGAGCCACCTGAAGGGAAAGAAAAAGGTGAGATGTATTATTAAAAAGCAAGATTAATTAGTAGGCTTTAATATATTACATAATATTTATTAAAAAGTTATTAAATTTTAATCAACTAAAATTAAAAGTAAATAAATTTAAAAACATGTTAATTGAACCAATTACAGTTATAT